AGAAAATATTTTTTCCCATTCTGTGGGCTGTCTATTCACTGTAATGATAGTTTCCTTGGCAGTGCAGAAGCTTTTTAATTTGATTAGATCCCACTTATTTATTTTTGTTGCTGTGGCAATTGCTTTGAGATTCTTCTTCAAGAATTCCTTGCCTAGGCCGATGTCTGAAAGGGTCTTCCCAACATCTTCATTTAGAATTCTTAAGGTTTCGTGCCTTAGGTTTAAGTCTGTTATCCATCTTGAATTGATTTTTGTGAGAGGTGAGAGGTGGGGGTCTAGTTTCAATTTTCTGCATGTAGCTATCCAGTTTTCCCAGCACCATTTATTGAAAAGAGATTCTTTTCCCCAGTGTATGTTTTTGTCAGCTTTGTCAAAGATTAGATTACCATATGCAGATGGTTTCATCTCTGGATTCTCAGTCCTGTTCCAGAGGTCAATGTCTCTGTTCTTGTGCCAGTACCAAGCTGTTTTAGTTACTATAGACTGGTAGTATGGCTTAAAGTCTGGTAAACTGATACCTCCCAGTTTGTTCTTTTTACTTAAGATTGCTTTGGCTATACGAGGTCTTTTCTGGTTTCATACAAAGCGTAGAATTACTTTTTCTAGATCTGTGAAGAATGATAATGGGATTTTGATAGGGATTGCATTAATTCTGTAGATCACTTTAGGTAGTATGGACATTTTAACGATATTGATTCTACCAATCCATGAGCAAGGTAGGTTTTTCCATCTGTATACATGTTCTACAATTTCTTTTTTTAGTGTTTCGTAGTTCTCCCCGTATAAGTCTCTTACATCTTTCGTTAAATATATTCCAGGATATTTAATTTTCTTTGAGGCTATTGTAAAAGGAATTGCGTTTTTGATTTGATCTTCGGCTTGACTGTTGTTGGCATATATGAATGCCTCAGATTTGATTTTAAGACTTTTTTGAAAGAGTTTTAGGTCCACAGCAAAATTGAGAGGAAGGTACACCCACTGACCCCCCTCATGCACAGCCTCTCTGATTTCCCTTTCACTCTATTCATGTGTAAAACAGCTCATTCTGCTACCAAATGACAGCTTCAAATTATTTGAGAATAGCTATAATGACGACACCCCAATTCACCTTTTCCCTACCTGAGTCCGCTGGGAGTACATTCCACAGTGAAGATGCTCTCCTCTGGGACCAGGACAGGCACCCACTTGGTACAAGTCTTTCCTCCCCTTCTTATCTGTTATAACCTCTACGGGAACAAGAAAATCCATGATCTCCCTGCCCCTATGAGGACTGAGGTTTCTGGATAGAAGGAAGCTAAGCAAAGGACATGAGCCTCTGCTAATCCCACTGATTCCAGTTCCCGTTATTTTCTTAGGAGTTATTGAGCGCCATTTATGAGTGGAATGCAGGTATTTAAGATTCCCATCTCACACAGCCAAAGTCTTAGCACATGATGCCAAGGGGGGTTGGATATCTGACTCCTCAAAGCCTCATGGCTGGAATTCAATGCCTTGGTAAATTAAGCATTGTCCAGCAACAGACTTCCAGGAGTAGAAATTTGAGACAAGGGAACATAAAAAGTGTCTAGAGTTTTGCAATCATATATTGAGGTTCTGGCAAATGATTCAGCATAGAGAATACAGAGAGAATTATGTAGTCATTGGTCCCATGGCCAGTCATCCTGCCATTGTACCCATCCTTCCATGGGTAAAATGCTCTCAGCAGCCCAACAGGTTTCTGCAATACCTGATTTCTCATGGGCCAATCTTCAAAGGGCCGGCTGGAATGGTCCAGATCTTCTGCTTTTTTTATGTATGTTTCCTGTGTTATTCCTGACTTCTTGGACAGATACAGAGAAACTAAATAGCAGAGGGTGTCTACACCTGGGAGATATTAATATTATGATTTAAAATTCATGGTCCAAAACCACAATTACTTTTGCACCAACTTAATATCATACCAAGACTGAAGGACACATAGAGGATGTGACACAAGAGTGCTTAGGCATGAAGTAGAGTTTTCTTTCCAAACACAACACCTTGTTAGTATACCTGCCCTGAACTTTGAGATAGAAGGAAAAAGAGAAATATCCACTAGTTTTGCAATAGTATGTTGGAGGTTCTGGTAAATGACTCAGCAGCACCCCTTGTACTTACCCAAAACCAAACCCTTTGCCATATCCTGTGCAGATGTGGTAAGAACGCACACAGCATTAGCCTCTGAGCAAGACGGTAAGAGAGAGCCCATCCCTCCAGAAGGTTAAGGTATGACCTTCAGGCCCTGTGCAAATAAAATGCTTTAGAAAGGGAAGTGGCCTTGGTGGATAAAGTTCTGGGGATATAAAAGTCTCCAGGTGGGGGGTCTTGGGAGTGACCCAAGGTCACATCGAAGGTGACACCACAACCCAGAACGTCACTCCCTTTCAGCTCACTCCCACCCAGAAGTGCGGTCAACACCTATTTATTTTTCTAAGTCTGTATCATTACACTTGCTCCCAGTTTTGTGGGAGCAGGTACACTATTCTCACCCCAACCCACTTCTCCTCTTCTCTCCTCTGTAGTCCTCTTTCTACCCACCCCAGACATTTCCCCATGCCAGATTTTTACCGAATTATCCCCAACCCAACATCCAGACCTTGTTCTTCTCCATACATTTTTTATTGGTGGTGATGGCTGGGCAATGATTAGAGTAGGCAACAAGGAAAATGTAAAGGGTATTCCAGTGGATATCAAAACTTTGGAAGGCTATGACATATATATCGTCCTATAAACATTTTTTTCTCCCTATCCTTATTACTGCAGAGGCCAAATGAAAGTACCACATTCCCCCTGTTCTATACAAACTAGGTTCTCCTTTACTCATAGATTTTTCCCCCACAATTCTTTTTTATGTCATATAAACACCCCAGAAGTTCTGACTAGCATCCCAGCCCAATAGGAATGTAGAGATAACTCCTAACTGAGACAGGAATTTCTTCTCAGAAACATAGCTGAGTCCCATAGTCAAATGAAATCAGCTAGTTCACCTAGGACCAAGTTTTGGCCCCTTATGCCTGTAGGTTCTGATCTTGCCATGACTTAAATGAATGATCAGGCTCAGGGAAATCAGGTTACAACAGCAGACTCAAATGCCACATCTAAGTATGGGAATGTCATATCACTGCCACATTCTCTTTTACCTACAGGGTCTGACCCTGCCCACTTCCAGCAGGGACTAGATGTGGTTCCATGAGAGGCTAAGATCTAAGGGGATTGCCTCTCACGGGCCAGGCATGAAATTCTCTTACATATTAAGAAAGAACATCAGGGAAATAAAGAATAAAAGCAAAGGAACTGTGTGATCTAAATAGACTTTTCCATCGCTCTATGGTAGCCACTGAGGTACCTTTCCCTTGTAAGAGAAACAGAGATAGAGACAAAAACTTCTGTTCTTCAGCACTACTTGAACATTTCCCTAGAGTCCTTGAACAATGTAGGCGATGATGGAGTTTATAGAGCTGCGGCTAAGATCACAAGCTTGGGAATCAGACCCCTGCATTCCAATCCTTGCGCCCCCTTCACTCCTATGAGCTAAGTGATGCAGCGATAAGGCCCTCACCTTCTCAGTGTCTTAGCTTTTTCATCTGTGAAATAGAGGAAATATCAGTAGCTGACTCAGGGGATGGAGTGAGGAACTACGGTCAGTGATCAATAAACATTAGCTGGTATGGTAATGTTGGGTACTATTTTCTCAATTGTTCAACAAACTGATTAATCATATCTTCTTTTCCAGCTACATTTTCTACAAATTTTTGCTTAGACGCAGATTCTTAAAATTACAAGTCCCGAATGGTCTTCACTGTCTTTTAGTTTGGCTTCCTTTGTCCCTTTGGTCCCATCTAGAGAGACAATTTAGTCTCTCCACTGAGCCTTTTTCTGGGTAGCGTTCTTTCTTTAAAAGGTGCTTGTATCAAGTTAATTTTTTCTGCATATCTGCCACCTCAGTAAGCTTTCGTCTCCTATAAATTTTTATTACTGCCTCTAGATTTGGAGTGACTTTCCTACAAAACCTTGGTCATTTGACTAGTTACTAAAGTTAAAAGAAAATTTCTCCTGAACTTCCCACTCTCTCCAATCTCATCCTAATTGGCATAATGTGTCAGAATGGTTAGGGGTACAGCCTAACTCTTGAAGAACCAGTCCAAGAGAGGGGAACAGGAATGAAGGTGGTAGGAAAGGACAGGGCCTGAGACCTCAAGATTTTATGTTCTCCTCTAACCTCTTCTTTCTGTATAAGGAGCTGGTGCTTTCAAAAGATACTAAAGCAAGAAAGTGAATGGTTAATAAATGTTAAGAGAGGGAGTTTTGTTAAAAACATTGAGAAGAGAGGTGGACTCTGTCACACTGAGCATTTGTAATTAAATAAGAAATGTTAGAAATCCCCTAGGAAGGAAGCTATGATGATGAATGGGTAGCCAGATGGGTCTAGTAGATAGTGGCCATGCTCTGTTAGCTACCTGTGCATGATCACTCTATCACGATCCTCCCCAACCTGTACCTTGTCAGAGTCTCCTCCACCGGAGGTCATCTCTCTAAGGGAAGGAGAAACATCTCCAACATGCTTGGTTCTAGCACAAGAGGAAGGCCCAAACATACACCTGCTAAAGAAATCATCTGTCGTACTTAGCAGCATGGCCATGGAGGCACTCGTGGTTCTATCACTGGGAACTCAGGTTTCGGGGGCTCCAGTACCTCTACTGGCCAATACCACATCCCACAGTCCCCACCCCAGACGCTGGGTTCCCGCTCTGGGCTGGAACAGATGGTCTTCTCTGAGTCACCAGCTGTGGATACTGGTGTGGTCACCACATGATTCTCACACAACTCCCTAGAAGATGTTATCAGGTAGAGGCAGTGGGGGTGAGGAGCTTTCATAGAAAACCTTCTATGATGAAACACCACAAAACCAGAGTGAACATGAGGTCACCAAGCCCACCCACCTCCTTCCTCTGCTGGGGGCTAAAAGAGAGCAAGGAGGGCACACCAGCAGCTCCGACCTGGGCGGCCTTCCTGATGCAGCTGCTCCTGCTCCTCCTGGCCTTCTTCCTGCCCCCTGGGGCAGAGGCAGGTGAGTGACTGCCCCCAGCCTCACAGGCCCAAGCCCATCCCACAGATCTCCTGCCCCTTCTGCACCTCCCTGATCCTTCTATGTACCAGGGACATTCTGAACCCAGCTTCAGTCCCTCTGCAGACCCCCCAAGTACAATGCAGGATAAGCTCTCAGCAGCAATACCAGGACAGAAGATTGTTCTCAGGAAAAGCCAGTGGGTACCATCCCCTCCCCAGGCCTCACACTTGTCATCTGGAAGTGCATGGCAGAGGGTGGGAACCTGGAAATTAGAAAATATTAAATTCTCCTAGAGAGGGAAGAATGGGCCCAGCTTCTGAGTCTGGGGAAAAGACATGCTTCCCTCACTGTGTGTCAGAGAGAAACCAGAGGTCAGCTGACCCAGAATTGGTGGAATCACTGTCCTCCAAATACTGTTTTGTCTTTGCTTAGTCTCAAGTCACTCAGTCCCTTTCTTCCCAGGCCTTTGGTGCCTCCCCTCTTTTGAAGGGTGAGCCACTGTGGCAGATCCCGGCTTCTCTGCTTTCCAGAATCCCACCAGCACTGCCCTACCAACCCTCATCGGAAGCTAACTAGACCATTCCTTCATGAAGCCAATGAATACTCAGTGAGCACCCACTGCATGTCAGGCCATAGGAACTAGGATGTGACAATAGCTAGATCCCTAAACTTACGTCCTGGCCACTACAGAGCAGCACTATCCTGGCTATCACAGGACTCATCAGGGTCTTGGGAACTCACCTGGAACAAAGAAAAGTCAGGAGGGAATTATCAGGAGCCTCTGGGATTTCACTGTCTCTATGAGGTATGCTCACCTCCAGCTATGTGTGGAAGAAAGATTTATAGACCAAGGCCCGCTGTTCTTCCCTTTTTCAGAGGAGGAAGTTGAAGCCCCTTCCCCCAGTCCCCTCTTAACTGTAGGCTGCCCCAGGCTCCCAAATGCCTAGCCCATCTGAAGCCATTAAGCAGATGCCCAGCCAGTGGCCTCAGAGGGTGCACACAAGCAGACACACTTTTCCTTCAGGGGAGATCATCGGGGGCCATGAGGCCAAGCCCCACTCCCGCCCATACATGGCCTTTCTTCAGATCTGGGACGTGGGATCTCAGAAGAGGCACAACTGCGGTGGTTTCCTGATACGAGAAGACTTCGTGCTGACAGCCGCACACTGTTGGGGAAGGTGAGGAGGAAATTTCCAACCCTCTTGGAAATACTCCACAGAGACCGCTGTCTGAACACCTGTGCAGAAGGGCTTCTGGGAGAAAGAGGGCGGGTAAGTCCCATGGGGCGAGAGGAAGGTTAGTGTCAGAGGCATTGCTGAGGTAAGAAAAAACCAGAGTGATCACACCTGTCATATTCAGAGCCGGGGACATGCTTTGGCATAAGAATGGAAACTAAAGCAACCTCACCTGTTTTCCCAGGGGGAGCTGACCCCTGAGAACCACTGGTGCAATTAGCAGACAGCCACATCCTGGGGCCCTCCCATCCCCTCAGTTTCCCCTCAGCTGCAGCCCTGCCCTGCCCTTGCTATCACCTGCTCTTCATGGCTTTTGGGCTGTACCCCTGTGACTCCACACACCTGCAGCCCCTCTCTGCCGTCTGTGCAGCTCCATAAACGTCACCCTGGGGGCCCACAACATCAAGGAGCAGGAGAAGACCCAGCAGGTCATCCATGTGAGAAGAGCCACCCGCCACCCAGCATATAGTTCTACCGACCACTCCAGCGACATCATGCTGCTGCAGGTGAGGCAAACTCCTGCTGCTCTCGCTCTGCTGGTCCAGTTGCCTCTCTGGCTGTGATGCTGTCCCTTCTTCCCTCCTTTCCAGCCCAGCCACTTGGCCAGTCCCTGAGCCTCAGAAGAGAGGGGAGACAACTCAGCCCCAGTACGGCACCAGGCCCAGGAGGCCAGTGGCTGACTTGGACTTTCTTGTCTCTTCCCCACCAGCTGAAGACAAAGGCCAGGCGGACTGCAGCCGTGCGGCCCCTCAAGCTGCCCACTGGCAAAGCCCGGGTGAAGCCAGGGAAGGAATGCATTGTGGCCGGCTGGGGCCGGACCGCCCCGGTGAGCAAAGACTCAGACACACTGCAGGAGGTGATGCTGACCGTGCAGGAGGACAAGGAGTGCGAATCCCTCGCCCGACCCCCCTATCGTTACGACAAGACCATCGAGATTTGTGTAGGGGACCCAAAGATAAAGAAGGCTTCCTTTAAGGTGAGACTATGCATCTGCTGCCTAGGCTCTGGGGAGGAGGAAGTTTGGGGAAGATCAAGGACCTGGACACCGAAGTAGTAGGGGACTCCCTCACCCACTAGACTGTGATCTTTCCCTTGGAAAGAGAAGAGGGGAGCAGCCCAAGCTAGCTGGGGCCTCTACACACTTACCAAGGGATCTCTGGTGAATGGTGCTCCTCTGGAAGGATGAATTTGCAACACTCCACCTCACCTCAGGTCACAGGTATTAAAAAACTGTGCTTCCTGAGGTTGCAGTAATTATAACCAGCTCGCTCCTTGGAGCTGGCACCCAATGTGGTTAAAGGGCTTATCCTCCTAGGTGTCAGCCCTACTTGCCTGCCTCTGTGTCCTTAAACAGTGACCTGGAGCCAATGGTCCCACACACCTTTATAAGGAGAGGACCCCAGGACCTGGGGGAGAGGACCTAGGCTGGCCCCTGGGGTGAGGTGAAGCAATAACAACAACAAGGGTCACAGCTTGGCAGCTGAAGGGCCCTGGGGCCTGTCCTGCCCTCTGGTTTCCACATACTGGCCATGCAAGTTCACCTTCCCTGAGAGGGGTCTTCAGATGGCAAGGACCGGGGCAGCACCAGCTCAGTCCTCCCCCTCTGTTCACAGGGGGACTCTGGAGGCCCTCTCATGTGTGACAATGTGGCCCAGGGCATCATCTCCCATGGAAAAGGCAATGGGATGCCTCCACGTGTTTGCACCAGAGTCTCGAGTTTCCTACCCTGGATAAAGAAAACCATGAAAAGGCGCCAACTGCAGGAAGCAGACTCAGCCCCCTCTGTGACTGACCAAGTTCTCTGGACCTGAGTCCACATTTACATCACAGGAGGCAGGTGCCAGCAGCTGAATAAATGTACGCTAGCTAAATGGGAAAGCTGGTTTCTTGTTTATTCATTGACCTCATTCACAGGCACCAGCTCTGTGCTAGGCAGGCCAATGACACACTTCAGCTGCTTTCTGCTTTCTCCTCTTCCCTCTCCCCTCAACACCCCCAAATCCCCTACGCAAAGTGGTGACCCAGCTGCTTCTTATCCACACCAGCGTCTCTTGGGCCTGCCCTTCTACCAGGGCTGAAGCTGAGCACCGTCAGGAGAAAACACAGACCGCTCTGGTCCTGGGCTCAGGGTGAACTTCTTACCTCCTTCCCCTGTGTTATATGACGGAGAGGCAGGCACAGCCTGGGGTCTCTGCAAAGGGACACAGGCCCACCTCACTGAGGCTCCCCATCCTTCCCTGCCCCATTCTGAGCTCGGGGCCCAGCTCGGCCTCCAGCCTCCCAGCTGCCCCTTCTCCGTCCCTGCTGAGAATTCCCAGAGTCCACCATCCTGTCCTCTCCAGATCACGCTGATCTGAGCTGGCCCCTTCTTCATGTCTCCTTGCCTAGGGTACACAGTTCCATCTGTTTCCATCAGGGTCTCACCACTTGGATGCCAGCCTGGCTCATGCCCTGGCCTAGAGGGCCTCAGAGGGACAAGGCCCACGCTGGCACCAGGCAGGACCCATGGAGGACAGGGCTGGCAAAGCCTCTCTCCAGAATGCTTGGTCCCATCTATCCCCTGCACAGGGTCAGCTCAACCCCTCACATCCAGCCCTGCATCCTTATATGCTCAGGGTCACTCAGCCACCTGGTCACCTGGTCACTCAGCAGTGCAAGCCCCTTTCAGCCTGTCCCTTTTGGTCACTGCCAACCTCTAGAATAAGACTCCCTGCTGGCCACTTGGGCTACATCAGCCTTTTGAGTTCAAAGGGACTCCTCTCTGCAGAAGGACTGGAAAGCATTATTTTTTCCATAAATCCACAAACACTCATTGAGCACCTACTAAGTACCAGGCATTGGGGATAAACAGTGAACACAATAACAGACTCTATCATCTGAGCCCAAGTGAAACTGACAGTGTTGGGGACTTACATCCAAATTGTGTAACTCCCTCTTCATCCTCCAGATTAGTCCACAAGACCTAGACCTATGTGGGAAATCTATGGGAATAAAGTATTTGTATCTTATTTTTATTTCTGATCACAGTTTATATGAATATTATTACACATGACTCTAGAACAACAGGGTGTGGGATTTGGAAATGACTCTAATCCTTTAGTTTCTAGACACAAACTGTTCACTGGAGCATCCTTTTCACCTAGGTCAGCAGGTAGGGAAGAAATGATGACTGGGGCAGCCTTATTTTCATTTGTTTGAAAAGTAGTAGGTGTGACTGTCATTGCACAGATCCAAATTGCAGGAAAAACACTCATTCAATGGGACTGCTCAGAAACATAATCCCTGGAGCCAAGATAGCAGACAAGAAAAGCCACCAGTCAGAGTGTCTCTGCAAAAAAGACAAATTTTAGAAGAAAGAGAAAAAAATAAACTAGCAGAGAAACATAGATCAGGTGAGGGTCGGAAGGAAGGGTGCCTGAAACTACAGGAGACTCCATGGAAAGACGTTGCAGAGGAGAACTGGAAGGAGAAAGGTCCCTGAGAGGTCTGGAGACCAGCGACAAGGGTAGGTGGAGCAGATAATTCCCCTCCCCTGCATCTCGGACTGCTGGTGGGCTCCTGAGCTGTTGGAGAGACCTGCCGACACCAGCCCAGAGACGGCTGCCGCCAGCGAGCAGTGGCCTCTTGCGGACAGGGCACCAGGCTCCCAGCTCCCTCGGGGCACCTCCCCGCTCACAGACCCGAGCCTATAGGCAGACGCCATAGTGATCCATTCTCTCCTTCCCCCTCCCTATCCGTGGGTGCTCAGAGAGACAATTTAGCCGTCACACAGAGGCATCTCCAAGGAATGGGACCTTTCCTTTTGGGGCCCTACAGCAGACTGAGGGGTACTCAGACTGCGAGCTCCCTACCCGCCAGCCCTCCCAGGTGCTGCTTGCCTGGGGACTCCAGGAGAGTGGGGCAACTCCCAAGGTGGAGTAAAATAGATCCAGCTTGGGCACCCTGTAGGTGTTTCAAGACCAGCACCCCTCCCCCTGGCAGGGTCAGGGATTGATCTCCAGGGCCCAGGGGACAGGCCTTCAGACCAGATCCCATACACTCACGTCAGGATCACACTGCCCCGGGGCACAGAAGGGAGATCTGTGAAAGAGCCTACTGAGGAGTGTGTGCCTTCAGGGGCAGATCAGAGTGCCTGAGCTGCAACCCTCCTCCCAAAAGAGGGATATGCACCCAGCACAGGCTGCAGTCCTGGGTAGGGAACTTCTTGCATCAGCCTGAGGTACCGCCTACTGCCAGAGGCCTGGGAGAGGCCACAGAGAGGGGGAGGGTGGAAGGGAGCAAGACCTGCTCCAGAGTGTGGGTCTCAGACAGCCCCAGCCCCCAAGCCCAGACTTTCAGCTGAGTGGAGCCATTTCAGCCCCTCCCAACAGCTTTGCATACAAGCAAAGAACAGACCTTTGACCCCTGGTAACAGCAGTTGTGGAGCCTGAGGGCAGGCTTACCCAATGCAGCCCCACCCAGACTCACTCCCAGACCTGTCTCCACTGAGGTGGAGAATAAGGACATATCTGGAAGTCCCAGGGCCCCACCCACCACCCGAGGCACAAGAGGGCCTCTCTAGAGGAATAAGAGCTAGCTACAGGACCCAAAAATAGCACTGCAGCTCGCTCCTCCCTGCAAGTGCCACCTACTGACAGGGAGGTCATCCTGCACACCCTTTTACAACATCTACTGATTCATCATAAAGGGTGTGGTCGAATCTCACCCACAAACACCACCTACTGGCTCAGAGACTAAACAGGGCGTGTCATTATCCAAACAAAAATCTAAAGGCAAGAAGGAACAACTGATCCAGATGGGAAGGAACCAGCAAAAGAACTCTAGAAGTATGAAGACTCAAACCTAAAGCACACCCCCAAAGAGGAACAACAGCTCCCCAGCAACGGACATTAACCAAACTCAGAACACTAAAATGACAGAAGAATTTCAAACATGGATTGTAAGAAAACTGAATGATATGCAAGAAAAAAATGGATAACCAACACAAAGAAACCACAAAAAAAATCCAGGACTTGAAAGAAAAATTCACTAAAGAAATTGAAATATTAAAGAAAAATCAAACCGATCTCCTGGAAATGAAAGACTTATTCAGGGAACTACAAAACACTGTGGAAA